ATCTTTCTTGATTTTAAACCATGCAGGGATCCTTTACACAATTTGAATGACAACTTCTAGGTAGAGGTCTAGGTATAGGTTTTGTATGACCATAATCAAATGTTCTGGGATTCCCATTCTTTTCAATGTTAGCCATAGTTTGTTATGATCCACACAATCAAATGTATTTGCTTAGTCAATAAAACACAGTAGACATTCCTCTGGTATTCTCTGCTTTCAACCGGGATACATCTCACATCAGCAATGATACCCCATCCTCTTCTAAACTTGAACTACTGGCAGTTCCCTGTCTATCTATTGTTCTAGGCATTTTGTATAAGTTAATGGACAAGTATAAAGCATTTGCACCATGCACGGACTTTTCCTTTCTTATGAAATATATACAAAGCATAAGGTCTCAGTTGTTCTTGGGAGAAAAAGGAAAGAATTTTCTGCAAAAATGTTTTTCCTTATGTTTAACTCCAGTCCTTCCTTCTCAGGACAATTTAACTATATTATCTTTTGTGGTAGCATATTTCAGGTAGGGAACATATGCTTTATCATTAGATCTCTCAGATACTTCTGCTGGAGGCTAAAAGGAGAAAAACACGCCACAAAGTCAAGTGAGACTTGAACACAAGCAAAATCGTAATGGGAAGAGCCAGATAAACTCTTCCAAGGTCTCTGAATGGGTCATTTATTTGGATGTCATGTTTGTAGATACCTGCCTTTATGAGCAACATGGGCCCTTGGCTGTTAGCTTTCACACTGGCCAGGTGTCTAGGATTATTTCTTGTTATTTTGCTACACATTGGCTAGTAAACTCCAACTTATAGTGACTCTATATGGCACAGCTTCAGTTTGCTTGGCTCCATAATCAGCACTCTTGGCCCCAGCAGCCAGGAAACTAAAAGACGAATTGCATTGGGAAAGTCTGCTGTTAGAGACCTCTCCAAAGTACTGAAGAGCAGTGATGTCAGTCTGCAGACTAAGGTGCCCATGATACAGGTCTTTGCTGTCACTTGCTATGCATCAGAGAGCTGGGCAATGACTAGGGATGACAGAAGGAGAATTGATGCTTTTGCGCTGTGGTGCTGGAGAAGAGTATTGAATATATCATGGACTGCTAAGAACATGAACAATAACATATGGCACAGGAGAGGACAGAGGAATCTTGTTTATAGATCACTATGAATAGTACTTGACTCAATGGTACCTGAGAACAACAACAACAATAACAACATCTACTATGTTGTTGTTATGTGCCATTGAGTCACCTGTGATTCATAGCAACCCTATGTACAACAGCTCTGAATCCTTCCCTGTTCTGAGCCAGTCTCACTGATTCTGACACACCTACCCCTCTTACCCCAGTTACTGTATCAATCTACCTCATTCAGAGTCTTCCTTTCCTGTACTGTCCCTCCACCGTTTCAAGCATGATATCCTTCTCCAAGGATTGGTCCCTCCTGGCCACATGCCCAAAGTATGTGAGACAGAGAGCTTCAAAGTCTCCAAGAAGAAACTGGATCTCATCCTCTCTAAGACAGATCTATTTGTTTTCTTGGTGATCCATAGAATGTTCAAGACTCTTTTCTAGCACCACAACTCAAAGACATCAACTCTTCTTCTGTCATCCTTAGTCATTATCCAGCTCTCTGATGCATAGCAAGTAATTGTGAAGACCAAGGCCTGGATCCGGTGCACCTTAGTCTTTAGACTGACGTTATTGCTTCTCAGTACTCTGGAAAGGTCTCCAGCAGCAGATTTACCTAATGTAATTTGTCCTTTGAAGGAAATAGCAAGTCCAGGCTGGGTTTAGAAGGGGTCATGACACTAGGGATATTGTAGTTGATGTTAGATGTTAGATGGATGTTAGATCATGTTAGAGCAACGGTGTCTCTCTGGAGACTAAGGTGCGCCTGATACAGGCCATGGTCTTTGCAATCACTTGTTATGCATCAGAGAGCTGGACAATGACTAGGAAGGACAGAAGGAGAATTGATACCTTTGAGCTGTGGTGCTGGAGAAGAGTACTGAATGTAGCCTGGACTGCCAAGAAAACAAACAGATTCATCCTGGAGAGGGTCGTTATGAGTCGCAAACGACTAGACAACACACAACAACAACAACAACAACAACAACAACAACAACAATTTGTCCTTTGATTTCGTTACTGCTGGTACCAAGAGTGTTGATTGTGGAGCCAAGAAAGCTGTAACTGTTAACAACTTCAGTCTCTTCTCCATCCATCATGGTGCTACCAATTGGCTCAATGGTAAGAATCTTTGTCTTCTTGATGTGGAGCTTCAATCCACATTGAAGATGACAGTCCTTCATCTTCTGCAACAAGTGCTTCAGGTCCTCCTCAGTTTCAGCAAGCAAGGTTGTGTCGTCTGCATAATGTAGGTCGTTGATAAGAGTTCCTTCAATGCTAATGCCACATTCCTCCTCACAAAGTCCAGCCTCCCACATGATCTGTTCTGCATATAAATTGAAAAGTATGGAGACAGGATGCATCCCTGATTCATTTCCTTCCTGATTTTGAACCATGTGGTGTTTCCCTGCTTTGTTCTGAGGACAGAAGTCAGTCAGTCTAAGTAAGCATAGGTTTCACATAAGCACAATCAAGTGTTCTGGGATTCATGTTCTCCTCAAGGTTAACCACAATTTATTGTCATTCGCATAGTCAAAAAGCCTTTGTGTAGTCAATGAAACGCAAATAGACATCCCTCCGGTACACTTTGCTTTGCCCAACCTGCACCACCTTCACCACCTCTGCTGTACAGAAGTTCATTGTTGCAGCTACTGTGTCAATCCATCTCATTGGTGAAGTATGATGTTTATCTCCAGGGCTTGACCGTTCCTGGTACCATGCTCATAGTTTAACCTCACCATCCTAGCTTCTAAGAAGCATTCATACTGCACTTCTTTTAAGACAGATTTATTAATTCTTTTGACAATCCATGGTATGTTCACTACTCTTTGCCAACACCACAATTCAAAAGTGTCAATTCTCCAGTCTTCCTTATTTATTGTCCAACTTTCACACGTGTATGGAGCAATTGAAAGTACCATGGCTTGGGTCAGGAGCATCTTAGTCTTTCAACTGACATCCTTGCTCTTTAGCACTGTAAAGAAGTCCTTGGTGGGAAAATTTGCCCATTGTACTACATAATTTATCTTCTTGATTCCTGCTTTGATGAATATTGATTGTGGATTGAAATAACATGAAATCCTTGATGTTGTTGTTGTTATGTGCCGTCGAGTCATTTGCGACTCATAGCGACCCTGTGTACAACAGCCCTAAACCCTGCTCTATCCTGTGCCAATCTCATTGCCTCTGACACACCCATCCCGATTACCCCAGTTAC